TTATATCAAAAAGAGATCGTTTTGTGTATAATTTTTAGAAATGATACACGAAACGGTCTCATTTTTTGATGCTAAAAATTTAATCAATTTATATCAATCATGGCCGAATTGAATCGACTCAAAATTAAACGAATTTTTTTCAGATATTTTGGTAATAGTACAATTGCGGAGACCATTTCACTATTTAATTTGAACATGAAAATAACAGAAAATCAAAGACAATATGCAATTCGATAATTAAAAACTGACAGCTTATAAACATAACCTAAAATGCATGAGAAAAAATTTGTCGATAAAATCAATATAGCCGAGCTTTTTAGAAGGTAGATGGCAGTTTTGCTTTTTATAAAAACGATTCAGAAAAAATTTAAAGAAAGAAAATAGATGAGTGCTGCCATCTACCTTCTAAAAAGCTCGGCTATATTGATTTTATCGACAAATTTTTTCTCATGCATTTTAGGTTATGTTTATAAGCTGTCACTTTTTAATTATCGAATTGCACATTGTCTTTGATTTTCTGTTATTTTCGTATTGAAATTAAATAGTGAAATGGTCTCCGCAATTATACTATTACCAAAATATCTGAAAAAAATTCGTTTAATTTTGAGTCGATTCAATTCGGCCATGATTGATATAAATTGATTAAATTGTTTGCATCAAAAAATGAGACCGTTTCGTGTATCATTTCTAAAAATGATACACAAAACGATCTCTTTTTGATATAACTTATGTGCATCAAAACGTTGCAAAGATTTGATGCAATTTTTGGTCTCAATTTGATACTTTTAGGAAAACTGTGTTTAAATAATTTGTTGCGATTGCTTAATTTAAACAATGGGACATTCAACACTGGGACAGGCAAAAATTTCAGTTTATGAAACGTGGATTTTGGCAACACTAATTATAAGTTGTGTCAGCTATACGCATGCGCATTTATACATACACAGCGACTAAAAATATAATTTTTTTATTCTAAAAAACAAAAAAAATCAAAATTTATAATTAATAATTATTACAATTATTGTTGGACAACATTTAAAAAGTAACACTTGATAAGAGAACGACTACTGAAATTTTGCTCCAAATTGTTTTTAGGTTGTGACCAAATTATGATGTATGATCAGCAGTACTGTAAACGTGAAAAAAAATAATATCAAAAAATATATATTTACAAAGTAAGAAGCTTAATATTATTATTGAAATGATTATTTGGTTCTTAATAATAGGTGTCCCACTGTTAAACACAAACCTTCAAAACAAGAAAAATGTATCAAGTTTCAAAAACTTCAAATTTTTTTATTTAATCACAATATAATCTTAATAGAATATGTGCTTTGTGTAGAAAAGAGTTCAAACTTTATGATAATACCAAAAAGTGTTCAAAAATATACAAAATTGACATATTAATATGTCTTTGAAAAAAAGTGTCCCACTGTTTGTCACTCTCCCATATATATATATATATATTACATTTTTCTTTACACGCATGACTAATAGTTGGTAAAGTTTGAATGCAACTACTGATACAAAATTATCGCAGTTATGTTTGATTCGCCTTGCGACACCGAAAATAGTTTATTAATCTTGAAAATATTAAAAAAGGATGTTTCTTCTCTGGTTCAAATTCACTGCAACAGGGAGATAATATACTGCATGCTTGGATTTATTAATTCCTTCAGTGACACTGACGACTATAGGCGTCATGGAAAAATCATACTTCTAATTTATCAATTTTCGTGCATTTTGTGTCAGAAATTGGGATTAAAGGTGAACATGCCCAATGTCGAAGGTAATGGAACTAGTAAGGATGGTAATACAGTCGAGTAATTTAAGATTCACAAATTTTTGCTGATTAGAACTGAATGTGGAGCTGTTTCGTAACTTTTTAACTATCGTAATTGCTATATCTTGCCATCTCCCAATATGTTCTAAAAAATTCAATGTATTGTGTCATCAGACTGCAAAAATGTATACACAATATTACAATTGGTATTACATGCCGGCGACGCTACGCAAGATAGTGATGCATGGCGCTAAATTTATTGAAAATAATATTTTACCTGTGGAAATGTTTGCAGAAGAACCTTTCGAAGCTCGAAACAAAAATTACAAGTGCTATTGGGAACAAAACAGTCGAAAATTTTGTTGAGAAGCTATAATACAAGACATGATCTCTCGTCTCATAGATTCTTCAGATCCATGTTTAACACCTTTTAGCTCAAGTTCACGATTACAAAAAGGAAAAAGATTGCCTCTTCTATCTGTAGTGATTGAATTACTTGTATTGCTAGAAATTCCTGAAAAAATACTTTTGATGTCACTAGTTAGATATTTGACCAAATAGATAGTAATAAAGATCATGATGATACTGATGACCCAGAAATTCAAAAGTTTATTTAAAATTTAGATAAGATGAATGCATCAGTGATGGATCAGTTAAGTAGATTAAATTGATTATTTCAATTTCTAATTTAAATTAATATTTAATATTATTTCAATTTTTTAAATAATTTAAAAAAATTAGGTTAATCTTTATATTATAAATAATCAAGTCTTCAAGAAACCTTTCGTCTAGTTTTTCATTTATCTTTAACAGATACATCCCTTCAAACTCTCTTTCGACAATTATAATAACTTGCCATTATTTCAGTCGTAGATCGCATGCTACTATTTTACTCGTGGGATTTTTAGGAATGGTGATTACAAATTTGCTGTTAGTTTTTTAAAATTCAAAATAGTTGATCCAACATCACGGACAATTTTATAACAAATTATTTATATTCTTTTATTTAAATCTGTGTATTTGTGTTCCTACGTAAAAATTAAGTTATAAAAACACAGTTTTTCATTTTTTAAAAGCTGTAAATTGCGGGCGCGCCTCGTGTTAATCCTCAAATTAAATTAAAGCAGCAATGAGGTGACATATATTAGACAGAGCCAAGCACTGCAGTGGGAAAAATGCACACGATTATATTTGACTCTTGAAAGTCAGAAAAACAAATTGATTCACGTGATGTCACTTATTGTCAGCTGTTTGAAATTATTAGTAATGTTGTCAGGCTATTAACCGATTTACAACACTGCTTATTCATGAAGAGAAGATCAAAATCAACCAAGGAGGTAGAAAAATGTGAAAAGGATAATTCCAAGTTACCCCAAAACTTATCGAATGGTATCCAGCCGAACAAGAACAAACCTCTTACGTGTATAGGTCAGAAAAATAATTTAAACTGGAGAGCTCTCTTAAGTCCTCAGCAATCTCAGTAATCGAAGAATCAAAAATCTTATTATCGGAGGAAATAGAGGTAAGCAAGACATCAAAAAATATATATTAAGAGTCGTTAATATTTCCCATTTATTAATATCTAAAATTTCAATTTTGAATTAAGCTGCCAAAGAACATACCATATACATAATAATGTATGATAATAATATAAATATACCTATGCGTTGGGTTCGCCAGAAAAGCTGTCACATGAACGTCATAGCTTAATGCTACGAAGCTTATGATAAGCATTTATGATATTTTATTAAGTCAATAAGTTTTAATGTGATTTCTACGAAATTTCTGATTATGTAGGAATCACTTGATTTAAGAAAATAATAAGTAAGAGAAATAAAAGAGTAGAGAAACAGCAAGACTTACAGTTGATTTTGAAAAACCTAAGTTGAGGATAAAATTAAGATAACGTTGAATAAAGTAAAGATTATAGAGAAAAACAGATTTAGAGCATAGGTATAAGAGTGGGAGAACACTGGGATAAAGAGCCCAATTAGCACGAAATATTGCTTAAATGTTACGGAGTTGTCAAGCGGGAATATTCCGCTTCATGGGGGCATTCCACAGTGATATTCCTGTATCATTTGCGTGACATTTGTATGATACTGAGGGAATATTTCCGCGACATTGAGGGCCTATCCCTATGATATTGATCGGAATGTTCCTGTGATATTAAGGGAATATTCCCACTTAATATCACCGTGAAATTCAAGCAAAATTCCGTGCTACTTAGGTGGTTCTAAAGACTGCTAAACTGAATGACATAAAACATCAAAACAGCCTATCAGTTGCAGGTTTTCTGAGTATACATGTTAGTGGTTTAGTTTAATTTGGCTGTTGACTGTAAAGCAGTTCGAGCCTCAGAAAATAAAAAGTACATTTTAACAATATCATATATTTCATATATTTGGAAGTAGTGAAAGATGTAAAAACATTTTTTGTGGCAAAGACTAATTTATTATTAGGGGCATATATTACGTGACATCTTTAGGAGCGGGAGAGGGTTAGACAAAGTATTACTTCCCATTGTAACTTAATTACCTACAATTTGTATCACGTAATATCACAGAAAATTAAAAGGCATTAAAATAAGCTGCAACGCTTATTATTTTAATCCAATTTTACTTATTTTAATACCAAAATGGATTAAAATAAGCAAAATTGGATTAAAATAATAACCGTTGCAGCTTATTTTAATGCCTTTTAATTTTCTGTGATGTCAATGACCCCTTATTCGTTAGGAGAAATTTAATACTGTACAAAGTTTTACTACTCAAACAAAAATTTATATCAGGGGCACACTTGCTTATAAGACGGCCTTTAGACTGGAAAAGACGTCTTCAATTTGTCACCATATATCTTATAAACGTCATTAATACGTCTTACAATTAGATAAGTTCTAAATAGCTGCTATGTCTGGCCAATTCACGTTTTTAAAAAGATCAAAGGGCGACTTTTTTATGCCTTTCAGGTGTCTTTTTTGGTCATTGTTTAGAGGGCTTTTTAGATGTTTTATAGGTCAGACTTTGAACGACTTAAAGAAGTCCTTTAAATGTATGTAGACGAAAAAGATATCTTTGAGACGTCTAGGTGCCTACTGCGTATATATGAAGTAAAATAAATTTTCTAATGAAAGTAAAACGTATTTTTTAAAATTAAAAAAAATATATGAAAGTTATAAAAACTTTAATAAATATATGTGCTTCATTTGATTCATCACCTTTCCTCCATAGAAATTGGTTGTCGTACTGGACACCGGACGTAATCGTGACTTGAACCAGTTCGCCATCCACTAAACCGTCGAGCAGTTAACGAAGAACTGGTGGCATAATCCCTGTAACAACAACTTTAATTATAACATATGAAATAATTAAAGTATCTTTATAGAATATAATTAAGACTTGCTTAAAGCACAAGGATTTTTCCAGCATTAATACTTTGCATATGGATAAAGGCTCACTTAAAGATCAGTACTAAACCAAATAATTAGACTCGCATAAGGCTTAAAGCTCGTTCCAAGATTAATACTTGTATAAGGTTAATGAAGGATCAGGATTCGATCAAGGTTTAAACTTTCATATGGCTTAAGGTTTGCTTTAATCTTAGAGGTCGTTCCAAGATTAATACTTCGCTTCAAACGTAGAACCTGTTAGCTCAAAATTGATCTAACATTCGTAACGACTAGACGCAACGATATCCATACAATTGTATTCGATAGCGTCTTAGAAAATTGATATTTCTTCTTTCAGAAATTATAGTGTCACAGAGAAGGAGTGTCTGGCACTATTGAAGAAAATTACAACCACGGGTTTGGTAGCGCTAGTGTCTCACACTAAACGTGACCAAACTGGATGTATAAATTTAAAAAAATATTAAATTTTTTGTTCTGCTTTTTCTTTAATGTTAAGTAATTTTTTTTAATAAAAAGGCAAATAATGTTCGACAAACTTGTAAAATATTTCTTTAGCTTTTAAAAACATTAAATGTCAACAACAATTAATCCGAAACAAATTTATCATTTATCAAAAGTGTTAAAATATAAATTATTTGTTTTTCAATAAATTTTTCTTATAACTATTAATATCACAATTTATTTTAATTGAAGTATTAGAGCACATGTTGGAAATAATTAACCCCTCATTATTATAAATATCTTACTATCCTCGTCCCATCTCAGTTTTAATTAATTGACATACATGGATTGATGGACATAAAACAATTATTATAATAAACTTTTATTTTAAAAATACCTCGGTGACTGCTGCAAATGGCATGTTTCCAAAATAGCAGTATCAGCAATCACTGGAGACTTCTCAACAACACTTTGCCTTCTGGAATCTGTTTCCTCAAACTTGTCACTTTCTTCTGTATTAGATCTTAAGAAAAACTCGTGGTCGGTTTCGTTTATTTCATCTTTGGAAATTCTTCGATCCAGGTTCCGGTTATTTGTTGCCAGAGGTAAGTTATCTGCACTGCGAACCTTACGACAAAGACGGGACGTGGAACCGTGCCTCCGTAGAAATTCCTTTAAAAAGAGTTCTTATAATTATTTATTTTTATTCTTAACAGATAATTTTTTTTGTAGTATGAGTATTTTAGAAATTTTTAAAATGAAAATTAAATAAAGTAATGTATAACAAATTTTGATTACAATTGAGGGTGCCCATGTAATAGTGCATTAGGTTCACGGATTGTTTGTCTCAACGGTAAATAAGGACTTCGAATTGCATGGAGGGGGACTAAAATCTAGTCTTCTTGTTGCGTAGATATAATCTCTTCCTCGCAATTCGAGATATATATTGCGGTTGGGAGAGGCAGTTCAAGTGCCTAATACACTATTATATGGGCACCCTTTAATATTGTTTCATTTCTAATAGAAAATCCACGGAACCGTACGATTGCAGATAAGAATAGTCGAATCTGCCCTTTTTGATAACATATAAAGAGAAAACAGTTAAAATAACTGATTACTTTAAAAATGTGACTTAAATAAATCTTAGTTATTAAAGTAGTTAGCGTTTGAGTATTAACTGATAATTATTGTCGTTAACTTGAATTACACATTATTTAAATTATTATAAAGTTTTAATTCAGTATCGCTTGGAATTGTTTCGTTTTATGGTAAGGAAGTTATAGAGAAGGTGCTTGTACAATAACTTGCAATTTGTACTTTCTATGTATTTGCTCTTTATGTGACTTGCTTGTACCTGAGAGCAACAAATTTTCAGTGGTTTAATTATTCTTTGGCAAAAATGTTTACTTTAGATCTTATACATGAATACGTTCATGTTTATGAATATTTGTGAAATATTAAATGAATACTTTAAAAGCTGCGCAGTAGTTTTTATCATGCGTAAGGAGAGAGTCCTATTGTTTATATAGGTTAAATGTACATGACCATGTAGATATTCATGAACATTAAAAGGGTATATTTAGAGGCCGTCAATAAACAACGTAGCCCCATTTTTGGCACCTATTGATCACCCCTCCCTTCATATAGACTTTCGCTGAACTCCCACCCCTTCTTCTGGTGGAACGTAGTTATTTTACTTTTTTTAAAATGCATTTCCATTGTATAGATTATAAATTTTAATCAATAGAAATCAGTTCAAAAACACAATCATTAATTTCTTTACTGCATATAGCAACAATCAAGGAAGTCAACAAAAATCCTTAACGTTAATTTAAATTTAACAAACTTTAAATTTTTTAGAAATCATTGTTATATTAACATTTAAACTTTTAGATTTGATTATTACGTAAAAAACATTTTCGTCTGACTTAATTTCAAGTACATCCTGTACGTCTGTCTAATCCCACGTTGTTTCCCTCAATCTATTCTACCACGGGTTCTGGAATATCCAAAGGTTTTGGAATTTCAAGTTCACAGTAATTCTGCGGCCCCCTCTGAAATCGTATTTTATCCACGCTGTTTCTCAGTAATGTTGCAGCCAAGGAGACTAGATACCTGAAGAGTTAACCTCGTTCAAATTAAGTGTACAGTGAAGACGGGAACAAAAGTGGAGGACACGGTAGGAGTAACTTCTATCTCGGATAGAGTGCTGAAGACGAATTTGAATATTCTGCGCATACTAATACATATGAAATCACAAAAATAGCTGTGGGAGACAACTAAAGAGAGTAATATAAGCATGTGTTAGTATGCGCAGAATACTCAAATTCGTCTTTCGCACTCAAATACAATTAAGAAGACCCTCCTGCCGTTAAAAATGTATTTCGTTCCCTTCCCAAGACTGTAGTTCACTCTCCTGGTCTCTAGTCTTCTTGGTTGCAGCCATGAATCTTTTTACTGTGTATGCTGTTTTGATTTGATATTGGAATTACCCGCAATATTTCAAAAATATCAAAATAAATAACTAGATAAATAAAACTACGTAGTCATCGCTCGAATCACTCCCCCACATAGTTTACCGTTTAACTTACTACGTGGTTTATAGACGGCCTCTTATTAATTAAACTACCTGCGCAGGCAGCAGATAGAGTAAGAAGTTCAAATTCTCCCATGTTGGGAGAATAGAAGAATGGAGAAATAGAATTAATCATGATTAATTGCAATTTTCGAACTCATTCTTTGATTGCAATCAAAGAATGAGTTCGAAAATTGCAATTATTTGATTAGTTAAGCCTATTTGTCTTTTCCACTATCCCAGATAGCACGTAAGCTTGCAGCAACTTTGCAGCAAGCTTCAAATATCCCACCTGACCCAAGCTTGTATGGTAAGCTTACCGAAAGATTACAGTGCAAGTTTACTGCAAGATTGCACAATAAGATTATCGTAAGTGGGGATTGCATGTGAATTCTTTCACCAAATTCTCTCCGAAATACTGGTGTGCATTTATATGGGAACCTTCATGGATTTTTACATGAAATCCAACACAGGTTTACATGTGTAATTCCATGAGGGTTTTTACAGTAGGGATTATTTAAATAATTTTATTAAATAAAAAATTTCACAAAACACTAAAAGCACAACTTTTTTCGTTTTTTAATTCTCAATCTTCTATAAAAAGAATGAATATTTAATATATAATTTATTTTTGTCATTTGCTAGTACTTAATATTCAACAATATTTGCTTTTGGTTCTTAACTTTTTTCTTTAAATTTTTTTCTTGACATTTTTTGTGTAATAAATATAAAATGAAAAGGCCAAAAACACTGTGTGGTTTTAAAGATATATATTTATTACTCCATTCCCAGACTCATGTATTTTCCCTCTTTGTAGACAACTACGTTTCCGTTTTGTTTTTATTTTTACTTCATACATGGAGAAAAAAATGAATCAAAAATAGTAGTATAAAACTATACTATTTTTGCGCGTGCGCTCATATCCGATATTCGTAGAACAACATACCCAATTTGCATCCTATACGGATGTGCACCCGTACGCATTTTAAGTCAGTCTTGTAAAAATTTTCTTTTACAACTTGACTTAGTACAAAACAAAAATTTAGAAGTGAAGTATGGAATAGTTTATGAGAAATTACAAAACGTTTTGTAATTAAAGCAGACCTGTTTTCAAAAATATCAAAAATTGTCTGTAACGAATAACTAATTACAACAGTGGTCGTTTCGTTTGATCAGTACAGGAGAGTTCAGAAAGGATGATATTTTCTGAGAAGCTGAATCTCAAAAATTAAAATAAATTATCATCTTCTAATTCCTTATTAGGAAGCTTATTTACCTCTTTGCAAATTTTATCAGCTCGTTTGTTACCTTCAATAACAGAGTGTGATTTAATCTAATCTAAAATGAGCTTATACCGAAGTCCCCTAGTACGAGTGGTGGCACTTAAGTAGCAAGACCCATTGCACCTAACCCCGGCAAGCTCGAACCCAGTCTCTCTTCCGAGAGTCCTGTCCTATTTCAAAAGTCCAGTAACTCTTCTACCGAGAGGTTACGAATCCAATCTGGGTCTACAAAAGCATGACCCCAGCATTGATGTCTCACTGCAGCATAAGCTGGACAGTGACATAAAATATGAGTTGAAGATTCCTCTTCTGCATCACACAATCTGCACCTAGGTGAGACGTTTCTAATTATTTTGTGCAGATGATAGTTTAGGAAGCCATGTCCAGTGAGCAACCTAACCACTGCTCTAACTCTGATATTGTTGAGTTTCAGAAGGGACTCGGCAAAACCACTGTTGAGTTTTAATCCCAACAAAACCATGGCCTGTCTACCTACAGTAGTCTCTGCCCACTCCCTCTCATGACATCCTCTAGACCATTTTTCCATGGCCCTGAGGGGAAATTCACTAAGGAAATCAGAAATCAGTAGAGGTAGTCTCTGTAAGATTCTCTTATTGATTTCTAAGATTTATTGAGATTTCTACGCGATTACCTGAGATTTTTAGGGATTGCTGGCTCTATTACCGGCTTAACTGCCAATGACAGCATACATACTGGTAGTATGTATATTGAAATGAAATTTTGGATTATCTTGGTAAAAATCGATTTTGATCGACTTTTTATGTTTATAAGTTTATTAAATATATCAAAAACAATCACGCACTTTTTGAAAGCGCATTTAAAAAATAATTTTTTGAATCATTTTTATTCGTTTAAAGAATCTATAATATTTATAGTTTATGAAATATTAATTATTAATAGAATAAATAATTAATAAATACAACAATTTAAATGAAAAGATTATTTGTCACTAAATATAGGAATGAATTGTTGTTGAAATATATATTCAATCATATTATTGAAAACTTCTCATTTAGATAAATTATGTATTGGGTTTTTAAAAATATATTTTGCTCTATTAATTGTTTTAAAAATAAATTATAATCTATTGACTCGAATAGCTACAAACACTATAATGAAAATTGTGTTCGATTTAAATATAATGTAACGTTCTAATTTTCAATTTAGAGTTGTTCGATAGTAATTAAAAAAGTTTTGCATCTTATTTTAATACAAATCGAATTTTTTGTGAAAGCAATAATTAAATTTTGAAAATTGCTTGTACGCAGTTATTTCTAAAAATCAAACTCGTTATAATTTTACAAAAAGTGTCTCGGCATGTTATAACGACACTTACACATAGATGTGATCATTAGTCGCTAAATACTTCGCCCACACAGCACATAATATTTCTAAAATATTTTACTGAATTTTTGGAATATTTAAGTGCAAAGTCCTTGAAATATTGCTGCAAACAGGAAAATGTCCGCTTATGAGAAAATATTGATGGTCAACTTGAGAAAATATTTCACTGAAATATTCTGGAAATTTTCAACTTAAATGATGCTCAGTGGTCGATCTTAGTTACTATGGCCTGTACAACTGCGCAGGAGTTTATAGTTTTCTAGAATCCTAAGGGTGTTAAAAATTTCAGAAAATACCTATTGTTTTCATGTGTCAAAAATTTTTGGACATTTTGTAAAATATTTCCTGAATATTTCAAAAGTAGTTATTTGTAATATTGCAGGAATATTTCAGTGAAATATTTTCTCAAGTTCACCATCAATATTTCCTCAAAAGCGGACATTTTCCTG